AGGGAGGAATGTGGTAATAATAGCACCTACTTCCCAGGGTCATTGTGAAGATCAAATGAGATATTTGTTAAGCACTTAGCATGGTGCGTGGCACGCAGTAGGTGCTATATAAATGTTTGTATGTATTTTTTATTCTCTGAATTCTTCATATTCTTCGACTCTCTTTGTTTTAAAGATAAGAGGAAACCTGACTTCCAGATCCAATGCTCTTTCCAAATTAGGCCTCACTGCATCAGAATCCTTGAAAAACAAATCCACAATTCTCAGTTCTCAGCTGTCCAGATTTGTTGAACAGATTAATGTTCACCCTGTTCCATTGAGTCCTTGCTGTCTGTGTGGCCAGAGGAGATGAAGATGATATTCTAGGAAAAAGCATTCCCATTAGACTCAGCCGTGTGAGCAGAGGCATGGAGGCTAGAAAACATAGGCACATTTGGATATTGAGTTATTCAGTTTACTTGGAAAAGAAAATGTATGTTAGGGAGTATTGAAAGGTCAAGTTGGGAAGGGAGCTTGGGAATGGATCATGGCAGGCCTTGAATGCTGAACTAAGAACCCCTCAATGTATGCAGTGGGAAGCCACTGAAGGTTCTTAAATAATAATTACTTACACCTCTATGTGCTTGATAGCAACATCCCCATCACAACCCTGTGAACTAGGTAATGTAAGGAATATTAATTGCATTTTATAGATTTTGAAACTTGGGCTTAGTGAGATGAAGCCCAGGGTCACACAGCTAGGCTTCTGCCCCTCATAGCAGTGCTCCTTCCTATGCACAAAGCATGGGAGTGGCATGAGCTGAGCTGGCCTGGCAGCTTGGGCAGAGTGGAGCAGAGCAGAGAAAGGGGCTGGGAGGTAAAGTGAAGAACACAGAATCTGAAGGACAGCTTGCCTGATGGCTGCCCGTGTAACTAGGTAAAGACAGGAGCCACAAATCCCTGTTCAGTCAACAGAAAAGAAGTCTGTGAGGTTTCATGGAAACAGCGGGTAATTGATTACTCCTTGTGAGAGTCAGTGCACACTTGTTAACAGTTGGGAAGTCAAAGAACTTTCTGTAGGTGTACAGTAACTTGGTTTTTTTCTTCATTCTTCATACTCTTGTTTATGTATTTGTATGCTTGTACTTTGTTATGGAATCTAAAATAAAATTTACTTAAAAAAAATACAGATAAGAGTGAATAAGGGCCAGAGATGGAGAGGAGGGGCCAAGATTCATTTTGAAGGTAGAATCCCCAGAATTTGGCAGTTTATTGGATGTGAAGACATAGGAGAGTCAGGCAAAGACACTTCCCTGTCAGAGAGGATGGTGGTGCCAGTAATGGCACTTGGAATGGGGGCATCCTGTGTATTGGGTTTTAGAAAAGATGAATTTGAGGTGTGGCCAGGTGACCAGAAGACAGCTGTGCACCAGCTAGTTGGAAATTCAGAAGCAACACTTAGGAGAGAGATTGGGAGTCATTCCCATGACCTTTCATCTTGTCTCCTCCCATTCTTAGACCACAGTGTCTTCAGTCGGAATTATATCCTAATAATAATAATAATAATAATAATAATAATAATAATAATAATAATAATAGTAGCATTTATATAGCACCCCCTGTGTGCCAGGCACTGTGCTAAACATTTTACAGATATTTTTTCATTTGGTCTTCACAACAACACTGGGAGGTAGGTGCTATTATTATCCCAGTTTTATAATGAAAGAAACAGAGGCAAACAGGTTAAGTGACTGGCCCAAGGTCACACAGCTAGTAAGTCTGAGGCCAAATTTGAACTCAGGTCTTCCTTAATCCAGGCCTAGTGCTCTATCCTCTGTGTCACCAAGGTGGAGTGATTACTGGAGTAATGACCTCTCAGGTCAGACTAACTGTTGGCATGTGCTAAATGGTCCTTTGTCTGTGTACCTCAGTGATCCATCATCTCAGCGTGGTGAATTCTTCTTCCACTGATCCAAATACAACCCCTCTATACCTTAGTAGGTGCTTTTGTGGCTGAAAAGTTTTGTCACCTGGTAGCCAGTCTATGGTTAATGGTGAACTTCTTAACGTTTAGCTAGCTCAATGCTTGTGTAACAGGCTGACCACACAGTCTGGGCCTTTCCAGCTTGGCAGCACTTGCTGGAGCTGGCCTTCCATTGGCACAACCTTGGAGAACCTTGGTCTGTCCCCCATTCCCCCCCCAACCCCAGGGCCATGCTGAGGCATTGGAGGAGGCTTTACATGGATACTTTCCTGGCATATGAGCATCAGAGGGACAGTGCCACTCTTCTGGATTCTCAACATCCCTACGCGTCTTAAGAAATCATAGAATCTCGGGAGTTGGAAGAACAGATGCAAAAGACTTGACTTCCAGCCCTGGCCATTGACTCCACTGTAGAGTAATTCACAGACCCTCTCCCCAGTTGTAAGAATGGGGATAAATATGTCTGTTGCTCCCAGGCCTATTGGGGGGGTGGGATAAAGTAACTGAGTTGAGAGCTCTTTAAAGAAGTGCATAAATTTGAGACATTTAAAGGCCCTCAAGTCCAAACTCCAGGAACCACCTCAAAGCATCCCTTTCTAAGCAGCAACCAATATAACCTGTTCCTGATTGCTTCCGGGAATGAGGAACTCCTTGCCCCCCTACACAACCTGTTCCGTCATTGGACAGCTTTGACGGCTAAGATGCTCTTCTCTAGAGCCGAAATCTCCCTCCCTCTTACTTCCTCCCGCATTTGGTCCTGTTTTAGCCATCTGAGGCCATACTTTCTACCAAATAATAGCCCTTCCAATAGGTGAAGACAGAAGTTAGCTCTGTCTCCTGCCCCACCAGTCTTCTCAAGCTAAGCATCCCCATTGCTTTCAGCTGCCCCTCTTAGGACATAACCTGTTTGCTTCCCTATCTTGGCTGTACGTTTTTGCACAAGGATCCAGCTGGTAAATGCCCCTTTTAAAATGGGCTTCCCCGGACTCGACGCAATAGCCCAGTTTTGGAGTAATGGAGAAAATGGAGTCTCAAGAAGGCAGAGCACTAAGGACTGCCGTGTCCTTTGTTCTGACAATAGATTTCTTTAAAAAAAAAAAAAGCCTGTGGCATGATGAAGGCCGCTGTGTGCGAAGCAAGGGGTTTGGGCTGGAGGATGTGCCAGTAGCATGGAAGCCCCTTGTGGGCAAAGGCTTTTGATTTTGTGTCTGTGTCCCCAGTGCCTTGCACTTAGGAGACATTTTGAAGTGTTGGTTGAATTCTGTGAATACAGTCCCCTGCATTTGAGCACCCAGTCCAGCAGAGGGCGCTTGACATACAGAAATATTCAATACTCAAGTCTAGATGAATACACAGTCCCTCTGCTGTGGCATATTTGGTACCCTAGGAGTTCATCACTGTTCCCTTTGCTTAGCCTTCTCCTTTTTGCTTATCTCCTTTGTATCAGTTGTTTGCTTCTCCTTTTCTTTCCCCTATCCACCATTTGGTTATCTTTAAATCCTGGTTGTAAAGCCTTCTTGCTTATAGCAGGTGCTTAATAAATATTGTATTAAAAATGCAACGTAGCATCCCGCCTTGTGTACACCTGTTAAACCAACAAGAGTGTGGTCGAAGTCTTTCCGCTTGTAGCAAAGGGCTTCTCTGTCATGCCTAGTGCATAGTGACATCAGGACACTTGAAATGAAATTGAATTAAGGGAAAAACATCTGCCAGGTTCCATGTGGGAGATAGCTCTTAGGCTACCAGCTAGGGGATGGGCATGACAGTCTTGTCAATTACTAACTCCCTGGAGACAGGAGACGGACACGTTCCCAGACCAGGGGAAGGGCTGTGGTTTCTCAGACTTTCCGGAAACTGCTGTAATGTGCCTTTCCCTGGAGAATGCTGGAGCTGTTTTGTTCTGCCTTGGTAGCTGCAAGCATCTGGAAGCCAGCCTCACCTCAGCCAGGACTGCCCCAGGGCTCCCCTGGGGCATTCTTTGGGCTGATTGGCCCAGGGGTCCCTAAGGGCATCTTCCCTAGGAACCACTGGGAGAAGTCATGGGATTTAGTTATCAGGACTACAGTAATAACACCACTTACATACGATAAATCCACCACTGGCCTTCTATTCGATATTTTCTAAACTGCAAGTCATGTGGGCGTTGTTGTAGGGGGACATACTTGCCTGAGTCATGGGACCTTGTATATATTTCCATGTCTGTCAGTTATAAAGGTCCATTATTCAAAATTATTTTGCAACTGACTGTTTGATTAATTGCAAATGCTTTCCTAAAGTTGCCCGGTAGCTGCAGGAAAGGAGATTCAACAATGACAACATCATTTTCTTATTGATTTTCATCCAGAAGTATTAAAAAATTTTAAAATAGTGCTTACATGATGTAAACCTTCAGTTATCTGAAAGTCTCAGGTTTCTAGTCTCTCATTCAGTTGAGGGTCAAGGATGATTGGAGTTTTAACATATTTGATTTTTATCTTAAATAGCAAAACTATACCCAGATTTTGAAATCTGTTTGAAAAGCTGTGGGAACAGAATAGTTGGCTAGTTTCTCCCCAGGAATCTGGCAGGTATGATCAGGAGTCAGGTGGAGAAAGGTTGACTAATAGATTTCCAATTTGTCCTATAATAGGTCTCATTTCACCCACACACAAAACAATTTTAAAGTCAGCTCAGGTAGATTGGAAAGAAGCTCTTTAGGACCTTGATGGAATTGTCCTGTGAGCTTGCTGGAGCCTCCCCTCATCCAGGAAACCTTCCCTTAGCAGCCATATCTACCCACTTACTGTATGGCAGCTTTTAGCACAGAATCATTCGTAGTTTTGGAAGGGTCCTTAGGACTTGGGATATCACTGCTGAGAGGTTCCATAGAAGGCTTCTGGGCCAGTTCCCTCACTTTGCCAATGACAGGGGCCATGACATCTTCATCCTTGAGCTGTGCTGTGGGTATCTGTGCCGTGTTTAGTCTGTGTGAACTGAAGGGGACACACAGTCTGGGAGCTTCCATGCAACCCTGACCTTTGTTCTTCTTTTCCTGAAGTCCATGCTGAGGGATGCCCAAGAAGTTCCAGGGCGAGAACACCAAGTCGGCCGCTGCCCGAGCAAGGAAGGCTGAGGCCAAAGCAGCAGCTGATGCCAAGCGGCAGCAGGAACTGGAGGATGCCTATTGGAAGGATGATGACAAACACGTCATGAGGAAGGAGCAAAGGAAGGTCTGTGATGGAACAGAGAGTGGTGTTATCTTCCCCAAGCCCCCTTCCATCCATAGTCAGATTTGGTTTGAAGCAATTGAGGACATTTAGCCTGATGAGAAAATATAGGACAAAACATGATCACTGATGACATTTCTGAATGACTGTCTTGGGACAGGGGAAGTAGAGTTCTTTGCTTTGGGCCTGAAGGGGCAGAACTGGGAAGAGGAGAGGGAATTACAGAGAGGCAGGTTGCTGTTAGATATAAGGAAGAACATTCTAACCATTGGAGCTGTCCAGCAGTGGCATGAGTGGAGTGAATGAAATCCCTGTAAATCAGGGGCATTCAAGAAAAAGCTGGATGGCTACTTTCTGAGAATGTTGTAGGTGGGATCTGTGCTTCAGATCTGATGCTATCTAACTGCAAACTCTTGAAAATGGCCTTGTTTATCATAGAAGAGACTTGCTTCTTACATCCTTTCTTCTTCAGCCATCAAAAATTTGATTTCCCACCTCATCATCAATACTCATTGAAGTATTACTGTTTAGGGGGCAGCTAGGTGGCTCAGTGGATAGAGCACCGGCCCTGGAGTCAGGAGGAGCTAAGTTTAAATCCAGCCTCAGACCAAACACTTGACACTTACTAGCTGTGTGACCCCAGGCAAGTCACTTAACCCCAACTGCCTAAAAAATAATTTTTTTTAAGTATGACTGTTTACCAGTGGATAGGGATATAAAAAACTCATTAGAAAGTTCCCAGAAACCAGGGGTTAGGGTAGAAATCCATTCTAGCTGGGAAGATAGGATAGATACCCCAAGAAAGATAAAATCTGGCTTAGGTAACACTCCCTTCGTGATATCTTCCCTGATACCTTCCAGTGGAAAGTGACCTTTCCTATTGCACTGACTATTTTAACCCTCTTGTTGTACTTTCACATTATATCTTGTATGTGTCTATATATATGTATATATGTACATATATATATATATATGTAACACACGGACATAAAGTCAGAGTAAGAAAGAGATCACAGATCATGGGATATCAGAAATAGACCTTATATCATAAAAATATAGATTACTAGAGTTAGAAGGCCCTTAGGATCTGGTGCAGTTTCTTCATTGTCTACCACACCTGGAGTAGAATATGAGCTCTTGGAACTCCCCAGAGTGCAGTGCTTTGCACATAGTAGACCCTTAATATTTTTTTGAATTTGTTGAATTCCAAAGGGGGGGAAACTGAGGCCCAGATTCAGCTTGTCCAAAATCATTCACATACATCCCCCCCCTTCCCAAGTCTATGGTGGATTTGAGACCAATTGATCATCTAGCCTCCCCTTGAATACCTCCAAGTGATGGGGAGCCCCCTCCATACTGAGGCTAACAGGAACACTTTGGGATAATAGAATGGTCTTTCTGACATCGACCAAAAATCTACCCATTATTCCTAGTTTTCTGCTTCTTGGGACCAAATAGGACAAATTTAATCTTTTGTCAATGGGCCATCTTTTCAAATACATGAAGACTACAGTCCTGCCTCCTCTACGTCTCCCCTTTGACTGTTTCCTCTCAGACAGTTGCCCACTTTGGCCAGAAGGTGGCAGGAGAGGACTAATGGAGATCCTCTACTAGGCATTACACTTGACTGTTACGGGTGCCTTTGGGGAAAGGAAGCTGCCACCAATTCTCCTCTCTCCTGACATGTGACATTGGCCCACAGGACATTGACATTGATGGACCAGCCTGGCTGGCACTTCCCCACGTGAGGGAAATCATTTTAGGGTTCGGCGGAGCTTAGCACAGTGCAGGCGGGTGGGCCCTACTTGTGCATCAGGAGACAAACGGCTCATAATAAGGAGGAAGTCTTGGAGACTGGGAAGTTAACGCCTGCAGGCGACACCGTGGAGAGGTAACGGACTGATTTCTGTCACTGAGACATTACTGTTTATTTGGCAGTCATTGCAGCTCTCATTCTGGAAGTCCCCACATGAATGTCTGATTTCCTTGGAGAGCCACATGCACATCCTTTGAACTCATATAGCATTCTAGACCCCTTTTATTACATTTTTACATTACAGTCTGTGTTCTGTTTTTATATTCATAGACTATCAAATCTAGATGGGCCCTTAAAACAGGAACCTAGGATACCAGAGCCTGAAGAGTTGTTGGAGGGCTTTTAATCTGTAGCTTGGTGCTGGCTATCACAGTCTAGCAGAGAAAATAAGAGAGAAACATACAAGACTGTCCCTGCTGTGATCCAGAGCTGGACAGAAGAACAGCAGAGAGGTGGACAGTGCTGTCAGGGTTCCAAAGCCGCTTGTGGCTAAGGGATCTGAGAAAGCTTCCTGGAGAACATTCTGTCCTGTGATTCCTTCCAGCCCTGTCGTTCTCTGATCTCAGGTCTCAGGGACTCTGTGAGAATAGACTTTCTCTGGTGTACATCGTTCTCCAAGGAAATCAGACATTCATTTCAGGGCCTCCATAATAAGAGCAGGGGTGAACGACGCACCCTACTTGATTCCTTTCCCTACGACTGGACATTTTCTCCAGTCTTTGAGGGGTGGATAAGATTTTGGGGTAGACAGATTCAGGGAGAAGGTGTTCCAGTTGTGAGGAGGTATGTCCTGAGTCAAGGCAATAAAGTAGGAAGAGACAGGATGGATTCAGAGAATGTCCAGTACTTGGATTTGAAACTTGGAGCAAGTCCTTTTAGCTCTTATTTTTCTTGTTTCTGAAATGAGAGGGTTGAATTCTGCAGCCCCTCTGGCTCCAAATGTTTGGTAAGCCCTGAGGAGTGCAGCTCGATGGGCGTGTAGAGTGGGTGAAGGAAGAGTAGTGATGGGAGAAAAGGTGGGAGAGGCAGCAGATTTGGAGTTTGAATCCCAGCTCAGCTACTCACCATCTGTAGGAGCTTCAACAAATCTCTTTCCCTTTCTGGGTCTCATTTTCTTTATCTGTAAAATGAACGTGTTGAGCTCAGTGATCTCAAGGGTCTCTTACAACTTTAAATGCTATGATCTTATAAAGGGAGGATCAGCTCAGAATAGAACAGGCCTTATGTAGTAATAGCCATCAAAGGGTTTGGAGTGGAGAGATGGACATTAGGAAGATCACTTTAACTGAGGGGTCCTTAATCTGAGGTCTGTGAACTTTTTTTTCAGTATTTCGATACATCTATAACAGTACCCTTGGTTTCCTTTGCAATCCTCCATGTTTGGTTTCTTTTATGCATTTAAGAACATTTGTTCTGAAAGGGGGTCCATAGGTTTCCCCAGGCTGCCAAAGGAACAAAAAGACGAATAAATAAACAGACAAACAGACGCCGTCCTCTGGGGGCTTTCTTAAGACCACGATGCCTTGCTGCCCCTTCAGGTCACTCTGCAGAGCAATATAATCCATGATATAGTCCTGCCGTGGCTCATGAAGGAGCGTACTCAAGAAGTATCTTTGACCACTGGCTCACCAAGCTGATGATGATGGTGGTGGTGGAGGCGGTGGTGGTGATGATAGCAATGGTGACAAGGACAGTCATCCGGAACTAGAAGCTGAGAGCCTCTGGTTACCGACCCCTCCAGGATCTCCTCATAAATATGTTGATTTAAACAGGGCCAGACTTCCTGGCCACCAGTTGCTAGATATTCTAAGTAGAATCAGGTAGGGAGGCAGAGGCATTCTGATTTCCCCAAAAGAGAGTGTGTTCTTGAGAAAACATGACTGCCATTAGGGCAGGGATCCTTAACTTTCTTGTATGGTGGCCCCATTTGGCAGTGTGGTCTGCACTCTGGACTCCTTCTCAGAATAGGGGTTTTAAATGCATAAAGTGAAATACATAGAATCAAGGTCAGTAAAAATAAAAAAGTAATTTTTCCTCCCATCCAAGGTCTGAAATGTGTCCATTAGCCCCCCAAGTAAAGAACTCCGAATGCAGGGGTCATTATGTCCTAAGTGTTGCTACATTGACTTATCAAGGGCCAGGAGTTCTATCAGGGTCTACATTTCTTTTAAAATAGTTCCAGCTTAAACTCCTAGAACTCCAGATCTTGAAAGGGACCGTAGAGAGTTCATCCAGGTGAGCTATTGCCTGAATACTGCTGGTGGTAGAGAATTCACTCCCTGTCCAGTCTTGATTGCACCCAGTTTGTATGTTCCGCATGTCAATTGTCAGAGTTAGATGGGACTTCAGAATGCAGAACACAGGGTGATAGTCCTGGAAGGGACTTTCATGTAAGAGCTCCTCACTTTTGGACCGTTTTATTTGTTAGGACATGTTTTCTTATTGAACTGAAATCTGCCTGCTTGTGACTTCGGTCCACCTCCCCTAATAGGTCCTAGTTTTGTTCTAATTTTGGGCTACATGGCCCAGATCTACCCTTTCTGGATTATAAGAGTTCCTTGCTCATTTGAAGATAGGTGTCTTCCAAGACTGAGAGTCCTTCTTCCCCAACCATCATCTCTTATTCCAGGTCAGCCATCCCCCCTTCCTTCAGCCAGACATTGTATGGTGTGATTTTGAGACTCATCCCCTTGTTCCATCCTGTTTGCCCTCCCAGGATGGAGACAGCTTACCATGTATCACCCCCACCTTGTATCAGTAAAGTCAGTTTTTGAACCCGAGTGTAAGGCTTGACATTTAAGGGGGTAAATGCAGTCTTATTCAATTCTTAGCCTAAGATCTTTTTAAGATTCTGTCCTCCAGTCTGCCAGCTTTTTCCATCCCATTTTGTGTCATCTGCAGACTTGATCAAGTCTACCATCTGTGCCTTTATTGGAATCATTGCTTCATTTCAGCCAACATTTATTAAGCGCCAGGTCTGTGCGAGGCCCCAGCCTAGACGCCAAGGGCATAAAAGTAAAGACACAGTCCTGCCCTGAAAGAGCTCACATTTACCTGGGAGATGCAACATAGATGAAGATAAATAGTGACGATTTGTAGTGGAGAGAGCACCAGACTTCCAGGCAGAAAGAGCCGAGTTCAAACCCCACTCACTTGCTGTGTGACCTTGGGCAAGTCAGTGAACCTT